GGCGGGGCCCGCGTCCCCGGCGGGGCGGGCGGGGGAGCGAGGGTCCGGCCCGGCAGCCCCGTTCCGTCCGGCGGCACCTCCGTCAGCACCTCGGCCAGCGCCCGCGGCGGCTGGGCCGGGCCGCGGCGGCGGGGCCGTGCGGTGAACCCCGCTCGCCGCCTCCTGCCGCTGCCCCCCGGTGCTGGCGCCGGCAGCGCTCGGCTGCGCGGAGCGGGATCCTTTCCCGGTGCTGAGGGCGGGGGGAGGCCTGGGCCGGGCCGTGCAGACGGAGAGGCGGACGAGGGGCGGGTGGGGCAGGGGCAGCTCCGCGACCTTTCCCGGCCGGGCCGAGGGGGTGGAAGGGGTGGAAGGGTGCTGCGGCTCCCGGGGAACAGGTTGCTGAAGCATCCCGGTGCCTCCCGGAGGTTGTGCGAGGGAGAAGGAGAGGTAATGCCCCTTAAAAGGAATGGGAAAAAAATCATCTAAGTAAATAGAAGTGGAAAATGCAGCAGGTTGTGAGGCATCTGCGAGATTTACGTTGGCCCAAGGAAGTGCCTGGGAATTCTCTGGGATGGGAAACAAATGGAAAATATCGGGAGTGTCACGGTGCTGTGACCAGAGGCAGGTGGGGCTGTCTCTGGCCAAACACGAATTCAGCTCCCGGCCTTTGGGGTACATGCTTTTGCCCCCGAGAAGTTAAAACATTAAACTGAGCACTGTGCAATAAAGCACAGTATTGCGGGTTCTGTTTAGTCATCTTTGCAAGGCCCTTTCAGTGCTAACTCTGCAGCAAGAATGCTTCATGCAAAATAGTTGTGTTTAAATTCTGTACTTAAAATTATATTTGTAATCCTTTCTCATAACTAGCATTGAAGCAATTGCTGTCGTTATTGAAATGATGTGCAAGGTCATAGAGGGCTTGCAGTTCTTCACCTTGCTAGATGACTGGTTGACATTATATTTAATACAGCTGATATGTGACATTTCTGGTGAGGAATCCTCTTTCCAAGTTTCTGAGTATTTTGGGTTAAGCAGCCCTTGAAGGCCATAACATTTCTTTTCATAAACACTCTGGAGCAAACTTGCATTTAAATCTGTTCCTCACTGTCAGTCTCAACTTTGGGAAGCTACTTGACTCTCAGAAAATTGGCTGAGTCAGTTCCATGTCAGAGATACACCTCAACAGACTCTCTCTCCCAAGGCGACTAAGAACAACAACAACAAAAAAAAAAAACAGCCCACCAAACCTTTTGCTTACTTTTTGTAGATGTGTTCCCTTTTGCCATGTCTGGCCTTACTAACATAAACCTGTTTCTTTTCTTTTGCCACAGACTGAAGGTTTCTCTGAAGCTTAATCTTCAAGATGAAGTTCTTACTAGCGGTTGTATTTTTCATCTCATTCTCCTTATGGGTTGAAGAAGTCTATTCCAAAGAGAAGTCTTCAAAGAAAGGAAAGGGGAAAAAGAAGCAATATCTATGTCCATCGTATGTTCCTGGTTTCTTTTATGCTTTTGCGTGGTGACAATCCTGCGCTATTTTTAACAGTGGAAATTATGTGTCAATTGAAGTAGAAGGTGATTCCTTCTACTGAAAGAATGGGGTCAGTGGTGGCAATGAGAGGAAGAGGGTTTGACCAACATCATAGCTAAATTCTGTCAATGTCTTTCTTCTGCAGAAGGTCCTCTGTTTTAATGAAAGGAAAGATCTAAGCCATAGTAAATGGTTTCTTTCCCTGTGGTGGATTCCAGCACAGTGTCTTGCTGTTTATGGGGACACAGTAATGTAGTACCATAGTGCTATGCTGTCCAGCATCATGTTGCAGGTGTATTGAGGAAAGCAAGGAGGATGCAAAACCATGATACTGAAATTCATCTGGTTAGCTAGTTATAGGAGAAGGTTTGTCCTATGTGTATTATTATTGCATGTTGAATAGAACTACGGTATTCAGCACCTTCCATCAATGATTTATAGTTGTATAACTTTTGTGGAAGTGGATTGATTGTTGCTATAAAACGTACCCTTATGGAATAATCTCCCTGTGAAAATACAGAAATTAAAATCTGTGATTGCCCAGCTGAAAACAGAATGTGTTCTGGAAACCTATAATTATTTGGTGTTATAAATACTCCCTTTTTCCAATGCCTACATGTTTTAGGTTGTGATCCATAGGATAATGCAGAAGTTTTATTTGTAAGTGCTGTTTTTATCGTTATCTTGGCCAGTCTTGCTCATTTTTTAGTCTTATGTTGTAAATATCTGAGGAAAAGATTGAAGGACTATGAGGAATTGTTAGTAAGTGTAGAAAAGCACTATGTCTCAAATAATAAATTGTTTAGACAAATGTAAAACATGTTTCTTCTTTGACCATAAAAGAGTAAGTATGGACTAATAGACTGGCTATTTAAGATTAATCAACTTTTTCCAAAGAAAAAAAAAACAAACCAAAAAGTAGAATAACCAAACAGAAACATTGTTCAAATAATACTTTTTAAACTTCCCACCATTTTTAAATATTGACAGTGGTGTTTATTTGTAACCCAAAATTTTTAGGAAGTTTCTGCATATGATCCATGTTTTTCTTCTTCTTTTTATGTCAAACCTAAAAAATGAAATTTGTCTTTGGATTTTAATACATTAAGATACAAGTCTCAAATGTGATGACTTATCTGAAATGACTCCTACCCATTCTTTCACCTTTGAATAGTTGAGTTCTCAATTAGGCTTTTGGTCTGAGCTACCATGAGGGTTTATAGCAAGGAGAAAAATGTCATAGTTCCCGGGACAGACATCAACACAAAAGCCCTTGGAAAGTGAGTTATGCAGCTGAATCCAGATTTTCCATGGTCTTGTTTAAGCAGCCAGCATTTCCCCCTGCTCTTGACTTCGTCTTAGTAGAATTCAAAACATCGATGTCATTTTATCATAGTAAGTAAGTAGATTTTTTTGTTTGTTTTTCTTTTAAACGCAGTATTTCTTGGTACCCATTAAATATGATGTCATTTGTCACCAATGTACTTGAAAAAACCTGGAGTAAATGCTATGATTTCAAAGTGATACTTTTGCCTTCCATGCAGTTGAAGCTTTCTGCAAAAATACTAGTGGAATCCAGTATTTGATGTACCTCGTGTGCAGTGTTGCTAGCTAGAATTGCTGTAGCAATAAGTCCTGTTCAATTTCCTGAATAATGAACAAGTTGTCTATATCTTACTTGGCTGAAGTTCACAGCTTGAGAGACAACCACTTGTAATAGCAGGGTTGCAAGACTGCTGTTTCTGTAGCTGGCATCTAGAGGACCTCTCATGTAAATGAGCAATGAAAGTCAGTTCTATCTTGCAGAGAAATTATCTAATGCTCTTTTAACTCAGGCTGCTGTTGGCAAACTTTCAATCATCAGCATTTTTAAATGATCTTTCACAAAACTTCTCGACTTGTTGACACTCTGTGTTATATAAAAGGCTGCCTACTTTTAATAATTTTTTCCTGTGTGAAAAAAGTATAGAATCTCTACTCGGAAACAAACCAGAACACAATGCGGTGGAGTGGGAATTAAGCGACACTAAAAGGGTTGACTAAAAATAATCAAGGAAGTGTGTGAATGAAAAATTTCCTAGAAAAGCATAAACAAAATATTTTAGAAGAATGCATTGTATCCCTTTTAAATAAAAGAAATAGGATTTTGCATAATTTATAAAATTGAATGGTACAAATTCCTAATAGAAACGTACATTTATAAGTTAAAAATCTTAATCCACCTTTAATTTCCATTGGCTACTGGTGCAATAGAATTTAAAGCTTAATTGTAAAAATTATTGCCTTTTATTTCCTTATGACATCTGAAAAGCGAAATTTTACTTCCTCAAGAGAACAAAAAACCAGCACTACTAATTGTATAGGGAACAGTTTTCTCTTGCGAACTTGATAAGGAAATTCAAATCTATGCAAATAGCTTTCCAGGAAAGATTTACACCGAGTCTGATGTTACTACCTGAGCTCCTTAATTTGATGTTAAGAAATTATTGGCTATAAGACTGGTTTGGGACTTTAGCATGAATGTGTTTGTATGAAAACTAAGCATACTTGCACTTGTCCTTTTATGGCTCTAAGAATACGAGGCTTTCGCCAAATGCGCCCCTCTGGCGTGAAATTAACCACTATTAGGATAGGCTGAAAACAAGCTGATTAGAAATCCCATAAAAAGTTCATTATTGTGTCATAAACAGATACTTACTTTCTTAAATTAGGACAATTCTATTTTGTATCTTAGAGCAAAACCTTTTACTTGTGATTATTCATGATGCTGTACTTCTCAGTGCATTGTGTAATAGTGGCTCGATTTGCCATCTTATTTTCATTTATTTCTGAAACTGTTTTTCCCAGCTTTTTTATTGAAGGGTTTCTTGAAGCTGATGCTTCATCAGTCGGTTCTTACTTTGATTTAATGCTTGCTCAGAACAGATGTAAGATTTCACATCCTGTATTTAGATCATTTTCTTTCTTACCTTAGGCTTTCCAAATGAAACATGGAGTAATTATACTTGTGTCTGACTCCCGAATCTTTGTTGACTAACAAAGAAATTGACATAGCTGGCCTAAAATGCTGTAATAGAGTTTTCCAGCACAAATCTGAGAAACTGGCTTTCACAGATGTGTGGTGCAATGAAGTATAAATCTTTGGTGTAACAAAACTTTTGCCTTTTATTTCTGTGGGAAATCTTAAAAAAACCCAAACAATCAGGCCCACATCTTCAAAAAAAATTTATGGGTTACATTCTTCTGTTTACAAAGATTATTTTCAAATTTTATATACTGAGTACAGATGATTTTGATATAGCTACAGATGGATTTAGTCACTTGATCTCTTTCCTTCTCATAGACTACCCATACCTTTATTACCTTTGTTACTTACTTCTCATTAACTTCTTCATAATTCCTTATAATACCTGTTTCTGTTAAATGGACAGTTAGCACTTTTTCTAATAGCACTGCTGAAAAATATTTTTCCTTTTCTTACACCACAATAAATACTTAAGTTATTTTATAATGTTTGAGCTGCTGCTGTTATCCACACAATCCTTAGTAGCCCAGAAGGTCTCTACTCAAAACTACTTGTAAGATCTCCAGACAAATGAAATTATAAGGAAAGGGAAGTTTGGTTATTACAGTGTTGTAGAAGGCACCTAGAAGTAATAGTGTTAAACAGCAGCTAACAAATCCAGTTATGACTGTGGTCATTGTCACAGCTATCGCTGTTAATTATAGTTTTAGTATGACTCAGCTGTTCACGTGCACAGGGTTCATTTCTGAAGATCCCTCAGCGTCCCTAATGCTACGGCAATGCTGAGAGCATAACCTCAGTCGCTAAATGTCATTCTTTTGTCTGGATATCAAGACTGTGCTTTTAAAAGAATATCCCTCTTCACCTTTATGCATTTATCCACATGGAGATTTATATCCATGTAGATGATTAACTAAATACTGTATAATATCTATAGAGACTTTTTTTACCCATGAAGTAGGAGTGCAAGTCATATTTTGGCTTGTATTCAATAAAGCATATCAGCTACTTCAGAAACTGTGAAATGGCCCTCTAAGCCCTCCAGAAAACAAGGCTTCTGCCATCTGCCAGGGTAGAAGCTTAGAAAGGTCACAGATGTGAGAGTTCAATAAACATCTTCTTTTAAAAAACAACAACAAATACAGTGGAACTAGGGAAAAAAGCCTTTGATGTGTTTTAAACATAAAGTTGTATGAAAGTCTGTCTTGGAATTTGTCTCGGTTATCTTTCAGCTTCTGACATGCTCTTCCTATAAAGAGTAAAGTAGAAGTTCAAAGAATATCTTATACCTTGGATCCTCTCCACAGTCTAGAATTTTTTTTATTGAGTGTTTGGGTATACATGGCCTCTCTATCTGTGGTATGTGATCATCCCCAAAATGTAAATGATGAGAAAGTGGAATCATGTCTGTCTTCATTCCCGTCATGCAGAAGACACTGCTGGTAGTCTGTGAATATTTTCATTTGTAGGTACGATGGGAGAGTTAATACAGTTTATGGGAGAAGGTGGAATCATGTTGAAAGAAAAGCCTGAATTTGGTTGTGGAGTAGGCTACATCTGACAGTCATTCTGATGATAAGTACATTGTAGAACTCAGGTCTGGTTCCTATAAAAATTCTTTTGCCCCATAGTAACAGCAGCTGGTCAATGGTTTAATTATTCCCTATCATGTAACTCTCATGGAAAGCTGTGATCCCAGACAGATAGGGCCACATTCCAGGAGGTTTGGGGATTTGTTTTCAGAGTGGATAAATGTGCTGGGGAGTAAAAGATAAAGCTATATAAGCAAAACCTAAGTTCTCTTGTAAATCAGTAATTAAGAATGGTAGACTGGTTCTCATTCAGTAATTTTCCCTCTCAGTGAGCAGTGTTTACTCCAATCTGAACAGCATAGTGGTGGGACATTACAATTGCACAGAAAATTACAGAC